TATAACTTGTGAGGCATAATATAATACATGTTCAGCTTACATAAAGGAAGGATTTATCACTGCTTTTTGTATCACTGTAATAAATGTAAAGGCTAACAAAAGGAAAAATATTTCATCTTTACCCATAAGTCAAATGAAGTTCTTCCAGATGTATTAGTGATGGTGTGATAAGGCCAAAGTCAAAATGATCAATGTTTGGACCATCCTGTCCAGCATCACTCCCACTAAATAATCAAATAGGTAAACATTATGAGAAAAAATTGTAAAAAAGGAAAGAAAAAGAAGGGAGGCAAGGAAGGTGGAAGAAGTTTCTAGTTCTGTACTGTATTTACTAGTAAGAATAAGTGTGACAATGAAATAAGCACCTCCCTCAAATATGCACCCCATTTAGGAAAGAATAAGTGCTGTGGTCTCAATGAGGCTCCCATTCCAAGAATTCCTTCACAAGCTGTGCCCTGAACTTGCCTTTTGATGGTTCTAATGATGATGCCAGCCACTGTTTCCAATAAGAACTACCATTTACTATATGGCCCAAAAACTTTAATAGGCCTGTGGCATTTATTCCAGGATATACTGTATTTTCAAAAATTACTCATCAGTCTGAAGTGATGGGCCACACAAAGATTTACTACCTAATTGTTGTGCACACATCAGCTAGAGCAACATGAATTAGGGATAACTACTTCTAAATAATTCAAGTAAAAAGATTACAAAGTCAAGTTTTTGTAGTTCTCTACTTACGCATCCGAGGTGTCATCATCTTTGATTAAAGCTTCTTTTACAGGAGGAAGAAGTTGTTTGATGTTTAATCCTCTCACATATGGGGCTGACAACTTAAGGGTTTCATTCAACTGTTCAAGAAGGAAAACAATACATCCAAGTAAATACTAATTTAACACCATGACATGTCCAAAGCAGGTAAAGGAATAGCTCTTTCTAAACATAGCCAGCTACATTCAATTCAGATTAACAAAATTTTGGTTTTAATCTTGGATTGTTCCTTGAAAACAAGTGGTTTTGGGGTTTTTCACACAATTGTTCTTTGTTATAGGGATCCTTTGACTGGTGCAATTATGCAACATTAATCAAATGTGGGAATGTTGGCTGAGTATTTGCCCCCCAACTTTGGACAGCTTTAAATCCCAATTGGTGGTGGTAAAAGCTATTTGTACATACAGTAGAGCATAATGTGACAACATTGTTTGAAGGATTACTTTTAATTAATGCTTGCAAGAATTATTCAAAAGTCAACATTTTTCCCATAGATATTCCGATATCAAAACTGGAAGCCAGAAAAGCTTACCAAAGATTGGTCTGTGGTTTCTGGGACAAAATTTTCAATGAGACCTGAAAATAAGCAAAAATCAAATCAGGCAGTGTAATTCAATGGCCTCCTTGCAAGTTCAAATCATTTATAGTAATAAGCAGAAACAGAGTAATTTTCAAATTAACCAAATCATCTGGCCATTATTGATTACTGGTATCATCATGATTTAAATAACATTAATGCACCAATATCATGATGCTTTAATTAAAGAGTACAAGTAGTGGAGCTTCTAGAGATGCCAATGGACAACTGCATCAAGTTTTATATTGAACGATAATGGATGACAGGTACCAGGGATGTTCTATGTGTACTGCTAACCCCAAAGACAGTCAACTGCTCTCTAGCCTTGCAATCCCTACAGCTCAAACATTCAGACACCCTCACCAATGTGTTGACAGTGTAAATGGGGATGGAAGAGAGGGTAGAAAGGAAAACATAAAATGGCTCTTAAGTCCCCCTAAAATCTTACTGTTCTAAACACACACCACTTGTTATTCTTATGCAATGCTCTGCTGTTACTGCTGCACAAATAACAGCTTTTCTATACTGTTAATATCAAGAAGTTGATTTATTCAGCTGTAGAAGTACAAACCTTCTAAATTCCTTTCAAAGTACATCCTCTTCCAACTGTTTCCATTCTTGTTGATATCACAAACTTCCCATCGTGCTTTACAACATCTTTTCCAATATCCTTCATCAGAAACCAGTCCAGCAGTAACTCTGTTACATACACAAGAATAAAAAATCAAAGCTGGACCACTTAAAACAATTCAATGAGATTACATAAATGAACATTAAATTAGTGTCTGGAAAAATTATTAAGCTCTGGACAAAACTTTATAGTTATTACATACTTCATGGCAATTTCCGTTGACAAGGCTTCAAGTACTTTGAACTTATGCTTTGGAAGGAGTTCATCAAGAACTGGGTTATCTGTCAAAAAAGTGAAATTTGCCTTTATCATACACATACATGACATATAAATTTTATTTTATAATTTTTCTACTGAGTAAGAGTTTGCATAAACACCAGCCAATTTTTATGGCCTCATAGGTGTGCTCAAACAATCACATAATTATGTGATGTCAAGAGTATACTTAACACACTGATGCATTAATTAGTATGATCTCATTTTTCATTCAAGAAAGAGATTACATGTCCAATACTAAGTATAAATACTGTACTGAGGACTCTTAATGTTAAAAGTAAACTGAAATAATATGTACAAACATGCATGTATCCCAAGAAACAAAAAAATAACATTGGCAAATGTATTACCTTCAAAATTTTGCACTATGTGCTTCACACAGAGTTCTGTAAGCAGTGGAACAGTGGCTAGACTCCTAGAATACAGAGACATATTACAACAGTGAAAAGTTGTGAGAACTAGGAGCCAAATGTTTGCAGATGTTAAAAATTATATCCCACAATCAAATACATGTAAGATATGCATCATATGTATTCCACTACCAAAAGATTTTGATTGTTCAGGTTGCCCTTCTCTAGTACCTGTGAGAATGAACTATCAACTGTTTATGGAATATTCAAGTGAAAAAAACACCCAAACAAGCTATGTTTAGTTCTTTTTCCTTTTTATTCTTCAGTTACATGTCAGTCGTCTGATCTTGTTGCTAGTTTATCATGCCCATAGTCAAGTGCTATGGACCAAAACAAGTCAAAGTTGTGTTTTATCCAGTCCAGCTGATTTTGCTCTATATTTTGTTTTTTCATTCTGTATATTTAGAGTAGTGTAAACCAAACTACCAAACTGTATTGCTCCAATATCAAATGTATTTCCTTGACCTCACATTGCGAACAGACATAATTATGGACTAACAAAACAGATTAAATCAATGACTAACCAGTCAGGATCTTCAGCTATAATCCTCCTCATTTGACGGGGATCAGCTGCAGGATTATCCTTAGTCGCAAATATCTAGTAAGTACAAAAATGAGTTCCCTCTTTAAAAAAATTATTCTGAATATTCATTGCCATGAAATCATGTCTGTAAAAAGTGTTAGTTGTTTCAAAAAATTGTATTTCAATCATTCACATCATTACACAAACTCTTATCTTAAAGCATTGTTCTCACAAAAGTTCTTAGGACATATCCTATTCTCACTTCCAAACTTAAATTGAACAATTACTTAATACTTTAAATAAAACCATGATGACAATGAGTGTGCAAGATTATAGACAGATAGCATATTTTAACCTTCAATTCTTGCCTGAAAAAAAAAATGCTTCAATTACTTCAAACATGGAGGTGCTAAAATGTTATGATTGGATGTTTCATACACCATTGTGGACTGGCAAGATTGAAGAAGTCTTGAAAGTGTGGAAAAAAAAGGGTGGGAAGGAGGAGGAGGAGGAGGGAAACCCCCCTGCTATCCAACCCCCATCTTTGAGCTTCTTATCTCACATTCAAAATAGCAGCTATAAAAGCAGTTAAACCAAAACGTCCTTGGTTTCAGCCCTTTCACGACTTATTATACAACTCAAGTACATCCCTAACGGTGAAAGTGAAGGCTAAGCAGAATGATAACTGAATTCGGAATAACAGGGGAGAGTTGAGTGAGAGCATATTACTTTGAGATCTGATAGTTGGCTACGAGTGTCCTTTGACATTCAACAAATGTTAATTCTTTTTAGTTCTACACATTTTATTGCCAACAAATGATAAAACAATATGCACTTTATGATCTATAACAATTCATTTCGTTCCATGGACGGATTTTTTACAGCCACTTTATTACATGATCAGCTCAATCTCTGGATGTTATATATGGTATTATACTTACTAAGAACATTTTCAATCACATTCGTTTTCTGTGTGACAAGATACCTCGTTTCCGAGGTTAGCACTTCACTGTATTGTTTACTGGGTTATGGGCTGTGTGTTACATGATACCTTTCATAACTGGTTTCAAACTCACTATGTATCTTGTCAAGTACGTACTGAGAGGAGATTTTCAGAACAATCTAATTTATGCCTCATCGCTCTGTTCACAAGAAAGTCTATATAAACAAATATTTGCTCCCCTCCCAGCTGTACAGAAGAGTGGAAAAAGAATAATTTCGTTACAGCGGTCAGACATTACCGGCGATGGAACTTTCCTCCCTGCAACCTCCATTTTCGAGCAATCGCGATTTTCACCCAAAGGCTGCGACGTTGTTGCTATGGCGGTCGAAGCTAAGGCATCGGCTCAACTTCGATATCTGGTCAGCAGTAGCTTATTTGGTGACATAATATTACCAAAAGGACGTAAAGACAGCAGAGTGGCAATAATTCTTAATAAAGAAACCACAACTTTTAGTTTGCAAGACATGTTTCGACATTCTTATGTCATCTTCAGTTGTAAATGCGATTTTAACGGTTGTACATTTGAATTTATATGAGATTACGTAAACAATATGGCGTAATTTGTAACGTAATCTCATATAAATTCAAATGTACAACCGTTAAAATCGCATTTACAACTGAAGATGACATAAGAATGTCGAAACATGTCTTGCAAACTAAAACATTAAGAATTATTGCCACTCTGCTGTCTTTACGTCCTTTTGGTAACATTATTTACGACATAGCAGAAAAATATAACAGGAGTGACATAATATGTATTTAGGACATAATATGCGCCCATACATGACGTACCTACCATTTGGTTCATGCTTTTGTTGGAGGCAGTCGGCAACCAAGCCCAGTCCTTGTTCGGAAGACTTAGGATGTTTTGATGGAGAGGAGTAGGGTATTTCCCCGAAATGTCGGAATAGGAAGTCATATTGCCGAAAATATTACCAAGAAATCAACGCCCTAATGACTAAGGTAGATTCCAGATTCGCCAGTAGATTGTTCCATTCCTCACGTGAACTGGACAGATCGATTCGGATCCGAAGACCGAAGGTGGACAAAACTCTAAAACTAACCGGTGAAGAAAAATACACGGTATGTATTATAAAAGTTTCAGAACCCATTTGGAAGCTTTTCTATAACACTCTCCTCTCCTGAGAGAAATTAAGTTGAAACTGGTGTCGAAATTTTGAAAGTTATCAGTTTGGTTTTCATAAAGGGTCACTGTGTTCTTCGTGGTCGTCCATCGGCACGCGTTCTCGCTCTCGATTTAATTTGGTTCAACTCTCTTTTTCCTAATAGAGGGGTTAAGTTTCTAAAGAAACTGTGGTACGTCGGTGGGAGAGTATAAAAGGTAATTTGATGTTTTGAAACGTAAATTGGCCACCGTTAAGAGTTAAAAGGCTAACGTCCGAAACGTCAGCTTTTAACTCTTTACAGTGGTCTCTTTTTCCTAACTTGATTTCATAGTTTAAATCTCAGTGGGACTGCGATCAGTATTCCAGCGCATAATATTGTCATTTAACCACATCAAATCAATCATTTGAGGGATTTTACATACTGTAAAATCATTTGATTTTGTGTATATTCAGAGTGCTTTGCCAAGATTAAGGGAACTGCTCCTTTCTCTGCTAGTTGTTGTATCTAAATCGCTTGACTTAGTTTTTCAACTTTGCACCCGCTTATAACGTTCTGAAAGAAGTCAACCTTATTTAACACTATTCCTACATTAGACAACCATGTTTGAAATCACCAAAACATCATGTCATCCTGAAGTGAAGGGCACTAAGAATTAAATAAGTGGAGCTCTGATTCTAGGCTCAGGTATAAAACCAGATGTAGATACTGATATATTTTAAAACAGCTTGAAAGTTGGGTTCTATACCTTAAGATTTGAAAAAAAAGTATTTAAAAACAAAGAACATTTAGCAGTAACATTAGAAGCTATTTTAAAACTACAGAAGCATAATCAGTTCTTTTTAAGACTATGGACAGGTTTTCCAACTTTATGGCTTTCTAGGTGTAAGACCATGAGACCAGGAACTGAGTTTCTCCACGAGAATTAGGAGATCTGTTGTGGTTATGGTACAAATAGAGTTCTTTTGATCAGAATTAGTGCCCCATACATAGGGTTACTAGATTTTAAATTCCCTTAATTCTTTGCATTGAATGTACATGTACAGCTCTAAACATTAAAAATTGTTTATTGCTCTTTCTTGAAGGAACACAATGGTTAGTGATGGTCTTGAGCTATAGAAGTATTCAGTTGAGATAACAAATAAAGATGGCTTGTGGGGAAGGATTTGAATATATAAATATTGTGCCAAAGAAGCTACCAGTTACCTCAGAAAATGGAGTGGTGATAGTTGACTTGACATCATATGATCCAGTAACCTCTGAAGAGTTTCCTGAATTCTCAAGCATCCAGGATCTTCAAGATTTGAGATTTTTCTCCAACTACCTCAAAGAAATTCCTGAACAGTTTTTTGAGATCAACCACCACCTTAAATCTCTGTTTATGTGTTGTAGTACCATCAAACCAGACAATGGTCTTTTGCGACTGCCAACACGTTTTAACTGCTTTTCTCACCTGGAAGAGCTTCATTTAGTTGGAAATCACTTTGAGGGGTTTCCTTTGCCTATTTGTAACCTTGGCAATGTTAAGACACTGTACATGGATAACTGCACTCTCACAAAGATTCCCAAAGAAATTAAGAACATGTCAAGTCTTGTGGTTGTGGACTTCAGCTATAACAGTTTTGGTAATCCTGACAGTTTACCAAAAGAATTTTTCCAATTGCCAAATGTCAAGGATTTATACTTAATAGATTGTCAGTTAAACGAGCTTCCCTCAGACATAGGAGGATTAAGGAACCTAGAAGGCTTAAGAATTGGAAAGAATAACCTTACTAAGCTTCCAGATGAACTGTTTGATTTGCCCAAACTCAGTAAACTTAGTGTTGAAGGAAACAAGATATCAGAGCTATCCCCAAACATTTGCCAGCTTCATTCTTTGAAACTCCTCTTGATTATGGAGAACAGGCTGATCACTTTGCCAGAAGAAATCAGGAATTTATCAAACTGCATCCATATCAATTTGTTTGATAACAAACTTACATATCTTCCTCGCTCTATCATCGAAATGCCAAAGCTTGAAACTTTAATTGTGGATGGGAACAATAATCTGCGGAATCCACCTCTAGATGTCTGCTCTCGCGGCCTTGACAGTATCAGGGGCTATTTCGAAACCCTAGATGCCCAGGATGTGAATACAGAGACAGTTGATTCACAGCGTTTGGAGGTTGTCCTTTTGGGTGAATCAGGAGCTGGAAAGTCAAGTCTTGCCTATGCTCTTGTTCATGCAAAAGCACTTCTGCACCCAGATAATGAAGCACACAGTACAGTGGGTGTGGATTTCTTTAATTGGAGACCATTTGCCAGTGTCATAGAGTTTCATATTGTGGATTGTGCAGGGCAGAGGGGGTACCAGTTGACACATCCATTTTTTTTGTCCTCAGGTAAAGATAATTACTGTTACTTAAGTTTTAGATATAATCCACCCTGATTTTTTTTCAGGCTTTATTTTCACTACTGCCTAAGTAGTGTTCATTACTGCAAAGATCACTCTCAGATTCATTTATTAATCTGCAGTTCACCATATGATTTTTATATATTCACAGTGACCATCTCCCAATTTGCTTTTGTTAGCTCAGTTGGCAGAGCACTGCACCGGTATTGCAGAGGCCGTAGGTTTAACTCCTGCACAGGCCTGAATATTTTACAGGCATTATTTTCATTACTGCTTATTATAAGTAGTTTTTTGTAACTGGGAACTTCAAGATCATTCTGATAGTCAGAAAAGTACTGTGTTAAAGATAATGTTGTAGCATTCCAACATGACGTAAAACTGCAGTCTCAATGATACAGTATATTTCTTTTAGTTTTATACCAGAATGTAGATGTAATGACTTTTCTTGTATTTCTTTTCATTACCATTTTAGAGGCCCTACATATCTTGGTCGTGGATCTCTTTAAGTATGAACCAACTGAAAGCTGTTTTCAGAAGACTGTTGGTGATTGGCTGGATCTGGTCACATCACGCATCTTGAAGCCAAGGATAATGATTGTGCCCACTCACTTGGATAAGTTTGACCCCAGTGATACCAGCACTGTTATTTGCTACTGTAAGGATATCTTGAAGCGAGTGCAAGATTACTGCAAAGGTCAAAAAGCTCTGATTGAGTATGAAATTTCAGAAAAAAGGAAGAAAGGCCTTAAGAATCCTTTGAAGGGAGGCTCAAACCCAGAGTGGAAGATAGACAACCCTCCAATTATTTCTTCTGTTCTACATCATGCTTTTTATGATGCTTTGCAGGTAAAAAAAACTCACAAATAACGTGCATGAACATGAGTGTTTGAGTGGACAATAGATCAGCTGTCAATTAAACTACATTTCATTAGGAACATAGCTGAGATATTTTCCAAATTCTCACCAGTTGGTCAAATGACACCTTGATTTAATTCAATATTTAATGTACTTATGGTTATTCATATTGTTTTAGATTTGTGTATGTGCTTTGTCAAATAGAGGATGCTTACTGGGGTCTTGGCATAAATAGATTTGTTTGGATCTGGGAAGTTTTAATTTTGGTCACTATTTTTGTGAACAGTATATTTCAATTTGATTGTGCTTTCTCCAGGAGCCACCCCCAACTGAGCCAGTTTGCAACACAAGTTACATCGCCATGGTACCTGTTAGTAATGTCAGTGAGCTAACTGGGATAAATGCGTTACAAGATGAGATCATACGTATTGCTGAAGATAGAGAACTCTTTCCATCTGTTGGCAGAGATTTGCCTGAAGAGTGGGTCAAACTTGAAGTGGCATTGAGGAAGAGTAGAGAAAATGACCAGGTTCAAATTTTAATTTTTCCGCTATTAAAAATTATGATACAATGTAGGCTTGAACAGCTAGTTACTGTAAACCCATTTATTACTCCCTCCTAATGATTTCAGCAGTAATGAAAATGGTAATAAAAGATATTGACAAAGACAAGGATTTACTGGAAGAATTGGCAATATTTTCCATGAATAATGTCTTTCATTTCAAGCCAACTAAACATAGCCTTTTGTTTTTGTTCGCCTATTAGAGAGTTCCACCATTCTTGGCTTTGTCAAAAATCTTTTTCTTTTTCCCACATAACATACACTGTAAGTTATACTTAAGGGAAAAAAAGCTATCTTAATTTGAAATCTATAGAGATATTAAAGGCACATTGAAGGTAATATACTGACTTTTTTATGTAAGGAAGTCTATAAACATGTTGTGAGATCAATCGTGAAGTACTTTTTTTTATTCTGAAGTGATCTCTTCTAAAATTTACAGGTTCGTTGTATGTCTTATGAAGATTTTGAAAAGTTTGCCAGAGAACACACTGGTCTTTCTAAGATGGGATTGCGCTCAGCAGTAACATATCTAGATTCAATTGGCGAATTGCATTATTACAAGGATATTCCTTCATTGCACAAGAATGTGTTCATTGATCTTCGATGGCTGGCAAAATTGGTGAAGTGCCTTTTCCGACATGACCTGCAGGAGACATTGAACTTTGATGAAAGCTTTCAAAGGTTTGGGATGATTCGTGGGTATTTTGATGAACTCAAGAAAAACCTTATTCAGGAAGCAAGGTTGTCAAAGGCTCTCTTGAGGTAACTATCTATTTATAAGTGCTTAAGAGAAGGAAAAAATTTGTTCTGTTCTCACTCAATTTAAATTGTCTTTTTAGCAAACCATTAAGAGCAGGTGAAGGAAAGGAGAAGAAAAGACTACTGTTAAGGAAATAAAATATAACTGATGGTCCTAAATGCCTTTCTTCCTGTCATAATGCCAATGTTGCATGGCAGTCACTTTGCTCTAATGAATCTCTTTTAAGAATACTTAGGCTACAAAAGAGAGCTGCTAGGGTTTTATTAGATGCTGAACCACGTAGTTCATCAGTTATGCTATTCAATCGTTTAAAGTGGATACCATTTTATGACTCTACTAAGTTGGCTAAATGTTCAATACTATTTAAAAGGATTAATTATTGTGTACCTAATTATCTTAATGATAGCTTAAGATTATTAAGTTCAGTACATTCACGCAACACTAGATTTTGTAAATACAACTTTTTATTACCTAAGTTTAAAAGGGCTAGAGAAGGAGGGAAAACTTTTCTAGTTTCTGCCATAAAATTATGGAATCAGTTAAAGCCTGAATTAAAAAAGTCTAATACACTTAAGGCCTTTAAAGACAACGTATTTAAATATTACTATAAGGACCAATCATGCTTAGCTCATTTTAATCCGTAAATTTTATTGATAGTAGTTTTATATATTCTTACTTGTTTTAGCTAATTTTCTATTTATATTTCATTCTATTAATGATTCTATTGTATTTATATATTTATTGTAATTAGGAGGACCACAAGTTTATTAGTGTTTGTGCACTATCACGTGCTATCCTCAATAAATAAAGTCTTTCTTCTTCTTCTATAATAACAAAAACTGCAGACTGAAGGCATGTTGGGTGAAATCTCTTGTAAAATTGCTTTATCATTGACCCAATAGACAAGAAACTTGAAGCACTGCCAAATTAGTTCTTTGCACACTAACCATAGAAGAAATGAAAGACTTTGTTTTTTTTGCTGAAAAAGATGTAATGCTGTTGAGTTGAAGGACGTTATTATTGGCTGCATGTCATAAATTAGCATATTTCTATGTTTGGTTTGGACAGTGAAAGGTTGCAACTGAATAAACTGCAGGACTTCATTGTTGTTCTATGTCAGTTAAGATAAATATTTCTGCTCAGGCCATATCATTTGACCCATGACCTTGAGTCTGGAACATGAAAATAATGTTTTGAAAATAGTCTGGAAAAAGTCATGATTTTTGTTCTTATAAATGTGTACTAAGCCAGTAATGAAGAATTCCCCATCCTATGTTTATACAAATAATACCTTAAGTTCTGATGGTGAGAAATTACATATCATCAGAAAAAAACTTAAGGGGTCACTATTTGGTAGTAAAAATGTTCATCTCAGCAATAGGGTGAATGGTTTCATTTTATCTGATCTTTGAATTACCTCCAATTTATCTGTTTACATTATTGACTTTCATTGACAATTGGTTGACTGATCATAATACCTCATTGCCTTTAATTTGTGGATGCACAGCGCTCAGAAAAAATGTCTGCCCTCAACAGCAGGCTTGTCATTCCATATTTATTCCCTCCTCCTCTCTCACAGTGTTAGTTTTTATTGTCCCTTTCACTTCAAACATTCATGTTATTCCTGCTGAGTTCTTGCTTCTCCTTTATAGTTTAAAGGGGTCTGCTTGGCAGGCTAAAGGATTTTCTGGCAATAAACAATATTAGAGGGAAAGGAGGAAAAGGGAACACCCTAACTTGTTAAAGTGTGGGCTGTATACTTAGTTTTGCATTTTATGTACTATAGTTATTCATATTGTTTATCGAACAACCTTGCCAGTTAAAGAAAAAAAAAAAAGGTGCATTTGATGTGTCTTGTCTGATTTTTCAGATGTCTCTGGGCAGAGATTGAACTAGATGAAGCCATGTTTCTCCAGATGGTCGAACTTCTTCATCATCTTGGTCTTGCATGTCGTCTGCCCACAGATGATCCTGACAACTTTAACCTTTTAGTTCCTTGGTTTTTGACTGATTATCCTGAAGAAGTTGAAGGTCTGTCAGAAAACCTGACTGATGATGAGGTGAAGGCTTGACTTCTTGTTCAGGGTGGTATTTATGAATTCAAAGAATTTGTGCACTAGGAGCTGGAGTGATAAATGGAAGAATGTATACTTGGTGGTTGTTACTAGGGTACTTTCAACCCTGGTTTTCATTAGTTTCACTAACTTCACTCTTTCACTCCCAAGATCTCAATAATTATTTTAGTAATTCACCCTACTGTCAGCCATACAACTCTTATGATGTCAGTTTGGAGAATTATCATAGGATCAACTAATAATCCCCTATGTTTCTTCATTCTCATCACTAGTCTGTTTGATATGTACTGATATTGTAAGGAGAAATCCTTTCTTGGTCACTCATGGGAGTTTAAGGGTTAAGCATTAGGTTAACCACAACAGTCCATCAGAAGACTGATAAATATATGGACCTGAAGGTTTTGCACATGCAGGTGCCCACATTCAAGCAGATTTTAATGGTAAAATAGAGGGCTTCTGTTGTTTTTGAAAACCAAGCTCCATTTTTAATATCTACTGTTCCCCTTGTAGCAATGGCTGCTTAGTGATGAAATGTGTGTTTTAATCATATGTTGTTTGGTCTGTAGGTAGAGATTAACTTGCTGTTTATGATGTCCTACTTACCCCCTGGTTTGTTTGATCGCTTACGTGTTCGCTGCTGTTCACTGGGATTTGACTTTTACAACTGGAAAGATCACTTGCTGTTGTTTGGGAATTATGAAAGAATCCTGATTCATAAACATAGTTACCCTGCAGGAGCTGATTCAAGCTCACCAGCCATTTACATCAAAGGAAGAGGGATAAAGGCAGAATTAAATTCACTATGGAAAATTCTTTTGAACATTTTTGAGGTAAAGTCTGTGTATGAAATTACTTTGCACAGCTGTCAAACCTTCTACCTGTTTTCAAAGCATTAAGCAAACAGTGTGGTACTCTCATGCTTGATTTGATTATGATGCATTGCCAATACCAAAACTGCCTCCCTCTTACAGTATTTATTTAGGTTTTGCTGAAAGTTTGCTGGAACCAGTCACATTTCTGTGAGGAGAAAGGCCCTCTAATTATCACCCTGACCAAGGCTTAAACCCCAGTATGTGTTGGCCATTAAGCCTCTGTATCTCCTGAAAAAATAATTGGCTAGATGTAACAGAATAGGTGGCATAGTCCTCTTGAAGGTAGAGGGTGAAAGTCCAAATTAAAAACTTTTCTTGTCTTCTTTTGGGAAAGAAATTTCATGAGATGTTCCCTTTCATGTTTTTGAACTTACAGCCTGCTTTCTATTGGAAACTATTGCAAACACAGTACCAAAACTGATAATTTCATTTTAGGAGACAGATGCCCTGTTAACTGAATGGCAAAGACTGAGTGTTCAGCGTTTTGCTCTGTGCCCACCATGTACACAGAAAAAGAAGGCCAACCCATGTCTCTTCCAATTCAACTGGATGAGCTCTGCTTCAGCAAGAAAGCACAGTTGGCCTCGGACCACTAAGATATGCAATGCAGGGCCAGGTATCTTCCGTGGAGAAAAGTTTGATGCCAACCTCATCTTTCCTCCTCCTGGTGAGTTATTAATATAGTTTTTCAAAGGTGGAATATAAAAGTTATTTTTGGTACAGGAGATAGCTGGTAAAAGTGTGCCTGCCAAAATCTCCTTGATGTGTGCATTTCATCCAATCAAAAAATTCCTCAACATGTTTTCATCAAAAGGAACAAGTGGAGTACATGAATTGGAGAGTAAAAGGAGAAAAAAAAATGAATGTTCAATTGTTTGTCTTACAATGTTAGAGTCAGGCAAATCAATTGTATTGATTATGACCTTTCCACTGCTATACTACTACTCCCTGATATGAAGTAGCAAAGCAATTTTTTCAAGTATTTAGGAATTCTTCAAAACAAGGTCTTCAGTACAGATTGAAATTATTGGTGTATCAACTCTGTTAAATTTGTTTTATTTTTATTAAGTGAATAATTCACCTAATTAATTTGACAAGAATCACATTCAAAATCAGTTAGCAATTTTTCAAGTTATCTTTAATAGTATTTGGCTAGTCTTGTGTACAGTATCACATCATGCAATTTAGTGCTATGTACTTGTTGACTGAGAGGGATGGCCAGCAGTCAAGTATTTGGCTCTTGGTCATGATATAAGTTTAAAGTGCAGCAAGGTGTATGTCATGATAGAGAGCTAAGTATTTTCCCCCTCTGCCTACTTGGTCTGGTTGAGAAACTGTTTGTAATTTATTTCGTGTTTCCTTTCAGACATTGTAAATCAATTACTTGATTCTAAATGGCCACAACTTCCGAAGCCAGGTAAATGTCACCTTTGCGCAATTTAGAGCTCTGTTATCCCTCAATATAATAAATTGTAAAACCTTGAAATTTAAACAGCATTGATTTGGGTTGTGTATGAATATGTGAATATAATTTTGTTGTCAACAAGTTAATCATTGATAGAATTACCTAGTTTATCAGATAATTTTTAAGTTGGCAACTTTTTTAAGTTGCTGTAAATTGTTTATCCCATCTTTTACCAAAAGTCCTGCCAAAAACACAAAATACAATATTGTACATAGATGGTGAATTATAGTACTACCAGCCACTTTTGATAAGCCTGAGTTACAGCCCTAAGCCACATTGTTCAAAGCTGGTTTAAGACAACCTAGGGTCTTTGTGAAATTTCATTTCAGATCCGAAAGCTTTAAATCAAAATTCAGTTTAATTACTTTTGTCTACAATTTGATGACTGGATGCTCTAAAAAGAAAAGAAGAAAGTATTCCAAAAATACTTTTGAATAGATAAATGAAGAAACCCTAGCATAACTCTAATCTACCTTCAAACAACTGGACCCTGGGCTGCATTGGAAAAATTATGAAACAGACTTAAGAGATCCACTTAATGTCTTCCTTAGAATGAGGAAGTCACTTCTGAGACAACTGCTTCTTTTATGGGATTACACTTTAGGAGCCTAGGATAGAATGCACCCTGCCCCTTCTAACCTGATACCCCTACAGTCAAGCCAGAAGATCTGAGGCCTTTGCAGAGTAGGACCTTTGGTGTTCCCAAAATCTTTAAGGGGTTAGATGTTTTGTTGTCAACTGTTTTGGTGCTAGGTTTGGTAAGGTTAGGCTCTGAAATTTCTCAACAGTTTACAAGCATATCATGTCCTAAGGGGTTGGTGGGGTGGCTGGAAGGTTTGAGAGCAAATTATTTTGCAGGATGGAGAGGAGTAGGTTAACTAACCAGTATATCATCTTGAATTTAACACTCTCTTTTATTTGTAGTTTCAGAAATTGTCCCTGACTCCCTCATTGCAGACCTCTCTCAAAAAATTCCTATGGAATGGAAGCTATTGGCAAGTTATTTGGATTTGAACGCTGATCATGTTGCCACTATTGATCAAGAAAATACCATAATTGCTGAAAAGGTTATTGCCATGTTCAATGCATGGAAACATGCGCAGGGAGCAAATGTAACTCGCAGTAAACTAGTGACTGCTTTGGTTGGTGTTGGAAGAAAAGACTTAGCTGAAAAAGTTCTCACCTACCAGAAGGAATGATTCTTTTTCTTAGTGTGGCAGAGAAGGTAATGGTTTCAAACAGGGACGGGATGGAAAGGAGACTGCAAAATTTGAAGCTACTGTTTTTTAAAAGATAAACTTGATGGCATTTTTGCTTGAGGGGGTGTTAAAATTAACTTGATTCTTGGAGACAATTCTGTTTTATGAGCAAGGGACTACAAGACCTTTGAGCATGTTGAGGAAGGAAGGAATAATTATTATTTAATTCTAAGGTGGAAATGGTTTAATCAACATTAAATAATTCTTTAAATTTATTGAATAGGATTTTTTTTTGATAATACTAATGATTGATGGAAACCTAGAAAAAATAAAGATAAATGGAGTTTTCTAAAATATGACAATATTTTATTGGTTGCTTTTCTTTTTTACCTGTAGTTGTGAAACTGATTGTATAGTTTTGTGTGGTTTTTATATGTTTTGACATAGTTTAGATTAGTTTGAAATTATTTTATTCACACCAGGAAATTAACTGGCTTTGTGGAGATGAATTTCAAAAGCATCAAGTCACTGGCAACAGAGCTGAAACACATCAGCACATGTTGGTGACTTTTGCCGGCTTGTGCTTGAAACGATGGGAACATCAGCCTTAAATGCTGGAATTGTGAAAAATTGTAAAGGAGTGAGGTTTACTCCCCAAGTTGAGACAAAAGCAGAGAAATCATTTGTTTCAGACAGTCCTTCAAACTGTGAACTGCTGCACTGTGATTTCAAAAATGTGCTTTGTGTAGGCTGAGCTACAGTAATATCTGTAGGTGAGCTGGGCAGTCCTCAGCCAGAGTCTTTTTCAAGTCTGCTTGAAGCTCAGTCACCACTGGCACATTCTAGCCTCATGTTTGTTATTGAGTCCCCTGCACAAATAAGTTTCAAAACTTTCAATGAAAATTGATTCACAATTGATGACAATCGATTACAACCAACAACACAATTTTAATGTTAATAAAATTTGGTTGTGTCACAATTGACATCAATGTTATGAAAATGATACACAAATGATACTACCCTTTTCATAGTGTTAATGAGGTGTTGAAAGTTGTAACAGTTACTGAGGATAGTTCTTAAAATGTTACTGTAATCTGTTAATAGGTAGGCTCACGAAGAGAAGCAATGTCATTTTCGTGAAACAAATTCTTTCTTCTTTTTTCCCTGTTTGTTAAGACACAAGTGATTGATTTTTAAACAAAGAGAAACATAGGAGAATTCTTTGTACATTGACTTGAAAAAGACATTGCTCCATTCAAATTCCAGCTCATTTAAAATATAGAAGCTCTATTAGACATTTTGGTAAAACACTTTTTAAAACTAGTTGCAGCTTTGTGTCTTTAAGAGATAAAGAAGTGAAAATCAAATACAGCAGAGGTGCTTGCTGGTAAAGTATTGCATATATAAGGTATAAAAACAGCTCTGACTGTAACCAATCATCACTCAGTCCTTTCAAGACACAACAAAAGTCAACTTGAAGTAAAAATCTTACAGGGAGCACTTAAGATTTCCTTTATTTTCTTAGTTTGTTGTACTTTAAGCAAACAGCCAACTTTTCACACTTCAGGTCACAAGCTAAAACACTGGGTCCAGATGGTAAACTTCCTGGGTAAAGGAAGGAATGAAAAGGAAAACCCTTGTTTTTTTACAACTATTTTGTTTTGTCAATGACCGTGAATATATGAAAATCATATGCATGAACTGCAGTTAAAGAAATAAAAATGAAAGCGATTTTCATAGTAATTTACACTATTTACCAGTAGCGAAAATAAGGTATAAAAAAAATTCTGTCCTGTACAGGATTTGAACCCATGACCTCTGCTGTACTGGTTCAGTTCTCTACCAACTGAGCTAATCCAAAGGTCTGAGGTTTGATTCCTCATAGAGACTCAGAATTTTTTCTTTGTCCCATGTTCATGACAAGATGAAAAAACACATCTTTCTCTATTTATTTACTGAGCTCAAAATTTACCATATCTCTTAATTCTTTCTACAAACATTACACTTTCCACATTGCCAATCCTAGCAGTATGCAGGATGCATGTCATAATAGACCTCGCTCACAGTGGAGTCTCTGTGGCTCATTGGTTAGAGCATCGAAGCACAGAATCCGAAGGTCTGAGGTTCGATTCCTCATGGGGGCTCTGAATTTTTTCTTTGTCCCATGCTCGTGACAAGACAAAAAAAATATATCTTTCTCCAAACCAACTGGGTGTTGGTCATCCCATACAGACCTGATTTTTTTTGTGAAGATCACAGAAGTTCACCAGAAAGACATAACTTGACCTTTTTGACCTGGGTTTTCTGGATTGTGCAGTGACAGAATAAATATAAGCCTTCATGGAAAAAAACAAATGTTGATGACAATACAACAACTTCACCCAGTAAGACACTTTTCTTTCATAAGAAGGCATGCAGTTTGACAACTATTTTATTTTCAAAGCAATGTATGGCTACTCATAGTCCATAGAGAGAGAATATTTCCTGCAGCAGAAAAGTGCATAAGCACAGCAACCACATTAATAAATTTTCCCATGTTTCCTTTAAATCCAGCATGTTCCTTGCACTATAACACAACTACTTTCTTTTCTAAATAACAACAACAGACTCTAACCTATCAATTGACTTCTTTCCCATTAACCTTCTGGAGTCTCCCTTAAGAGTATGCAGACACCTGACATATTAAAATGGCCATAGCTATATGAAGGCTACATAATGCTATTCACTGGATAAACTGTTATACAGGGAAAGTGTAATATATAATTATTGTAGACTGTTTTCAAACAGATAGTACTATCCAGCATTTGAACGACTGAAGCCAGTCTCTCTCTCTTCTCTATCTCCCTTTTGAAAATATCAGACATGACTAAACCCTGCCATTGAATTTTGCAACAAAGTGCTAACCTGGATAGAGTCGGGGAGCTCAACTTCAATGGACACTGGGTTGTCAAAATAAAACTCCCAAATACACACTGACAACTATTTAGCAAAGAACTAAAAACTGGAGCATGTTTTCAACATAGAGCATGTTCAGCTTATTCCTGCTGCCTTTCGTTTCTTGTTCTTCAAAATTTTATCAGTCCCCCCAGTAGTGTCCTGCTTTTTCTTGCCATGTTTTCTAACAAACTCTCCAACATCAAACTTCCTCTTACAGCCATTATAGTTCATGTAGCGTATCTTTCCAAACACCGGTCTTTCAGCCCAACCTTGATCATGCACTCCACATACTGACCACATGCAACCTTGAAGCAAATTGGGAACAACATTTAGTAACATCTCCACAATAGGCCTACATGATAGAGCTTTTGCCCCAGGGAACACCAAACCTTCTATACAACAATATAGCAATAATTCAAGACAAAAAGGGGGCGATAATGATAAGCTTAGGAGAATGAGGAGCCATTTTAAACTTTTAAAATATCAAGTTGTAAGACAAAACAACCTGCTCGGCTCAGACACTTACAACCCAGTCATGTGAATTTTACTTGCATTTGCCTTGGTCACTACAATTTACTTATCCCATGAGAATACCATATGTTACATTTAAATGCAACATTGTGAACGTAATAACCAATACCTACCCACATATCCATTAGGGTCATTGCCATCCAGACTGAACCTGTCATTAAGGAAGAGAGACACCTCAAGGGCCTCTTCAGGGCTGGCTGTCCACTCCAGAATTTTCTTTGCCCAGTACATTCTTAGGAAACCATGCATTTTGCCTTCATTTACCAGCTGAAGCTTAAGTGCAAAAGACAAATTTTTTTTTGTAGAAAGGTACTTCAGAGTAATTTTTTAAATTGAAGCTTTTACTTACATCAGGCTGCAAAGTGATCAACTTCAGGAAACAGTTACCATAATACTGTAAGTTGTGGTTCTGAATCACTTCACATAAGCTACTGCTTTACGCTTGGTGAACCATTCAAGACTTTCCAACAGTTTTTGCCTATTTTGCAGACTAAGAAAATAGCTCTAATCATATAGCTAGGGAAAAATAGCAACGTCTTTACAATTAAGTACACAATATCACTATTTATTTTAAATCCCAGTCAGTACTTAAATTATTTCTTTTTAACCCCACATAAAGATTATTCATCAGCCACAAACCTGAGCAGCATTCCAAAGGTCATCATGTGTGTTCCCACTTTCAAGCTCTTCTCTTGTGTACAAATATTCCCGTTTATCCTGTGCATGATCATGCAGAGTCTTCTGTGCCCAAGCATTTGTCCCTTTGATTGAGTCATAATTCTCCAAGTTGTAAAAGCAAAAATTATCAGCTAATTCTCTCCTAACAACTGCTTCCTCAATGAAGGCCTCAACAGAGTCTTTAGATTTGCTGCGGAACTCTCTTACTCTGAGGATTGCTCTCTGGACACTTATGTGACCTGTAGAGGAAAGTGCAAAAACAAGAAATTCAGGAGTGGAATTTGGTTACAGTCAACCCAGATCCTTCTCTTACAGATAGAAAATGGTTTTCAATTTTATCCAATCTGACAGACCTAGGTGTGTAGAGGAGCATCAGCTCATTTTCCAAAGAGCAGCTCAATACTTGCATTGCACCTAATTTTTCTGTAATTTAGGATTCACACCTAATGAACATTTCCTGACTCTGTGTAACAGTGATGAAAGGTTGCTTATTCTAAAATTGTTGGAGATGCAGAGACCAGTTTTTCAGATTAACACAATTTACAAAAAAAATCAATAGAAAATAATATCAAACTACCTTTAAAATTTTAAAATTAAGGAAACATCTGACCAAAAGAGAAGCAGAAACTGATTCATGGTTTTAATTAGCGATTAAAAGTTATTACATTGAATTTTTTCAAATTACCTGCATGAAACCATGGTGATAAGTTACTTAAAGCTTCCTTTGTGGGATTGTTCCTATCTGTTGCAAAATATTTGAGCCTGCTGTTACAGAATGATTCCAACATTTCCAGACCAGCCTCAGTTCCTGCTTTAGCCCAATCAACATCTTTAACAGCACGATCAACATCAATGAAACTATCCACTGCTTCCCAATCCACTGCCTTTGGAAAGTTACAGATAACGAACCTTTACAAACATACACTGAGGATAATTAAACTGGGAAAATTTACTTATATAGATGACCTAGAAAAACTGGCTATACAGCTTGAGCAAGCCAATCTTCAAAAGGAGAAATGCCTTGGATGTTGGAGCTTCCAACTGATTGATGCATTATGCCCAATGGCCCATAGTTTACTAATGAGCTAATAAAATTTCAAATCCTTGTCTTCTTTGAATTGTGTTAAACTTTGCTTACATGTACAAACTAAAATTGATTGAGTAATTTATTTTGGACATGCCTCAGTTATTTGAAGCCATTTAGGGTGAAAAGACATTGCTCTCCACTCCCATCAGACACAAAATAGAGATATAACAAATTGCATGTTCAAAGTTGCATGTCCATCCATACTGTCAGTTGGAGATCTCTATTTTCAATTTAATGTCTTTAAGTTTAAGTATGGACCTGAACTTTGGTTAAAAGGGGATGCTTTTCTCCTTCAAATAAGAAATAAGTTTCTTAATTTTCTCAACACGATTTGAAAGATTGTACTGCTAGAATAATTTATGAGAACACTGTTGTACTTTACATCTTTGTGACAACATGTAAAATGGAATGAATACTAAAAAATGGAGGAAAACACACAGGTCTTAATTACATAGCTGGTAATCATATAATGAATGAATAAGATAAAAGGTGAAGGAAGATAAATTATGGCAGACACAAGAATAGAGAGTAACTTGCCATAGAGCAGCACAATATGCTGGAATGTGCTGGAAGTAATAAATGTTGTACTACTTAAAGTCTACCGCACCTTTATATCATAATCTCCAGCATGTGGATGGTTAATTACTGGTGGGAATTCCGTAAGAAACTGCTTTAACTGGTCATGGATTTTAGGGCGAATGGTTCTTGCTCCATACTCCAACTTTGGAGAGGCTTGCCAGCAGGGCACAATGTTGTGGCCATCTACCTGCAAATAAGAGATAAAACAATGCCAATTATAATGTTAGGTAGACCCCGAGACTAAACAGTGATTCAGAAACCAAGAGACCCTAAGTTACTAGCATTACAGTCCTATTCATATTACTAAATTACCACTGAGTCCTCTGGCTTGGCAGATTTTGTTACAAGGCTATCAAACAGCTGTTGCAAAATTAATTGATTTCAATTTAACGTAATTTGCAGCAAACAGCAGTTTGATTTGTATTTTTATTTATGTTCAAGGGCTATGGTTCTGAGCCAATGGAGAAACAACTCAAGCCACCAAAGGTGAAAAAACACCAGCTAGTTTCTGATGAGCCCCAATTAAGCAGCCACCCCTTCCCAAGCATCTGATTGCCATTTGCCCCTAGGTGGCAAAGAAATGAAGATTTTATTAGGAATTGACATTGTTTAATTTTATGCGAGTCCATAACATGGGAGCCTTAAGCATTTCTGGAAAGTTGTCATAACAATAAGTAGAAGCTTTGTAGGTAGATCCTGGAGCCTGTTTCTTGAAGTTTCTGTTAAGTTAACTGGCTTGTAAAGCTGTTCTGTTTTCATTCAAGACAAGGGTTTCAAAAGTTTTGAAAACCATACAATAAACCTAACAGCCAAAGAAACAAACTGGATTGGTTAGGGTGCCAGAACCTGCCTTTAATTCTATTTTTAAAATTTGGTATAAAAATATGGCTTTGGGCTCATTAAGTTACTCGGACTCTCAAGAAACAGGCCCCTGATGAACACAAACAAACCTGACAAAGTGGAACATTTTTTGGCAGTTTCTTGGCAATATCTTCCAGCCATTTAAGAGGTTTCCTTAAAGGTGTAAAGTCTGCCACAACACCACCAATTTCTTTGGATTTCACAAAATCTGGAAGGACCTTGTCTGGTTCACCAAGAAGCACGTGGAAAGCAATATTCAACTCTGTCAGCTCCTAGAATGAAATACCATAAGTGGTAAGAATAAAATAGTACTTCAGTTACATCTGAAGGTCATATTAAAAGGAGTGCCCTGGGGAGAGGTTAACTTGTGAAGGAAAGGGAATAATTACTGTTATCACAGAACTGAGATGGCCCTGTATGCCCTTTTATTGACAAATATTACTAAAAAATCCCAGTGCAAGGCACAAGCAGGGCTGTAAAAAGCTGCAGAGCTCTATGTACCGCCCCATGAGATGCAAATTCCAAGAAGACAGGAAGAAAGAGAAAGAGAAGGAGCAGTGATCGCACAACAAAATGCTCTGACTTACTGATTGTGATGTCAGGCTGACAAGAATAGATTTGGCTCT